ATTTATATAGTCATGCTACTCTGAATCGTCAGCCAATTTAATTTTAATCGGTATTTTTATTTAAAGATCTTAATGCTCTTAACCGAATGGAATTTTCGTTTTGGATGAAAAGGCCAAAAAATATTTATGTTGTGAATTTTTCATCCATTTTATTATACATAAAACACATTAATGATTACTAATTGTATTTATTTTTTATATTATAGTATAATGTGCCAATTTTGTCCTAATTTTTTATTTAGTAACTTTTTATCAATGGAACAAAGTAGTTATAATATTTGATATTTGATACTTGTGATCATTTTTACACCAGATTAGATCAAAATGCTTAATGTAACATAAGAGAATACATATTTCCGATGTATTGTATTAACAAAATTTTAGTAACGTTTTACAATAAATAATATAAGATATTTATATGAATATATGTATATAAAAATACTTGTTCCACCGAATATATATTACACGAATAATTAAAAGCAACAATTATATTTTTAGGCATCTATTTACAATTTTATCATGTATATTTGATTTAAACTATCATGCTAAATAATGATCACTGTCACGGGCGTATCCAGGATTTTTTTTTTCTTCAAGGGGGGACAATCTTGTCTCACATAAGGAAAAAATGTTTAAATATATTTCCTTCCTTGGAGACCCTATAATTTTTATAGTATCGTATACAATTTCTATAATATTTTTATATTAATGATCTTTTTTTCCGTCACTTATTCATTTCTAATGTTCACCTTTAGTTAAAAGGTGAACCACGCCAAGATATATAGATGTACGTCGAAGAAGGTATTTTGTTTTTTTAGATTTTTTATTTTTTTGGATTTTTGTATTTAAACATTTTTTTTATCATTTTTATTTTTTAGTACTTTTTTTATTCTTTATTAATTTTACATTCTTTCACTTTCCTCAAACAAAAAAACTAATTTCTTTTCGTCCTGCTCAAATTTGTCTATTACTTTACTATCTAATCACTCTAAAACGCGCTTTTATTCAACACGTGTCTCTCAACCAGGGGGCAAATGCCTCCCCCCTTCCTTTGTTCTCTTCCTTCTCCCTTCTGAACATAACTTCTGTAAAAGGTGGACATGTACAATATTATAGTATCTTTTACTTAAAATATGTAAAATTCCAGACAACACACAATACTTATAAATATTTTGGTAAATATTTTTATGGTCTTATGGATTACGCAAATCAAAAACATTATTATAACATTATTATAAATGTTATGAAATATTTATTACAAATGTTGTACTAAATATTATGAGAAAATATTTAATAACGCATTCTCTCTCTCTAATCCAAGTAAAAAATACTTATTAGAAATATTTATTTATATTTATCATAAATATTATAAAATATTATAAAATATTTAATCTATATTTCAATAATATTTTGAATATAGCTTTATGTATAAAATATATATAAACTATTTATATAACATTTCAACAAATGAATAATAATAAATATTTATCATAAATATTTTGTGCTGTCTGGGATGTTTGAGAACGTCGTGCCGCATCGTTTTTGGCGCATGAAGTTGGTTGAAAGACGACCCTTCCCCCCCCCCCC